CTGGGGCACTGGGTTTGATTCTTAGCACCACATATAAATAAATGAATAAAATTAAGGTCCATCAACAACTAAAAAATCTATAAATAAAAAAAGACTATAGTTAACATCATACTTAACAAAGACTGAACTCTATTCTTGTAAGATCATGAACAGGGGAAGAATGTCCATTGTCACCATTGCTCAACACAGCATTGGAAGGTCTAGCTAGAGCAATCAGACAAGAAAAATTAGAAGGACTCCAGATAGGAAAAGAAGTAATTCAACACAATCTCTATCAAAATTCCAAGAGGCTTTTTGTTTGTTTTCTGAAATAGAAAGGTCCATCCTAAAATTATTGTGGAGCTGAAAGGGATCCTAAATAGCTAAAAGAATAATGAAAGAGGACCACAAATTTATAGGATTCACAATTCTCAATTTCAAATATTATTACAAAGCTGGAATAATTAAAATGGAGTGACACTGACAAAAGGATAATCAGGTAGACCACAGGCATAAAGCTGACAGTCCAGAAATGGCCCATTCATCTAAGGCCAATTTGTTTTTGACAAGGTTGCTAAGCATGGTGGTACACACCTGTGATACCAGCTCCTTGGGAGGCTGAGGCAGGAGGATTGCCAGTCCAAGGCCTGCCAAATAGCCAGTCAACACAGGAAAAAATGTTCAGCATTAATCACAAGGGAATTGCAAAGAGAGTCATAAGGTACCTCTTCGCATCCACTATCAGCTGTGATGAAAACAAAAGCAACACTAAAGGTGTGGAGAAATCTGAGCCCTCGTGCACTGCTGCTGGGAATGTAACACAGTACAGTGACYGCAGGGACACCACGGAAGTTCCCCACAAAGTTCCACCACCACTCCTTGCACTATACCCAAAAGGATAGAAACCAGGATATAAACTGTTCACTGTACCATTATTAAAAATAGTCAAAAGGTAGAAACAGCCCAAGTGTCCACTAACAAATGGGTATAGAAATGAAATGTGGCAAAAACATACAATGGAATATTACTCAGCAGAAAAGGAAAGAAATTCTGATAGGTGACACAACATACATGATCCCTGAGAACATAAAGCTAAGTGAAGTAAGTCAGAAAAAAATGGCAAACCATTGTGGCTGGACTTATGTGAGTAAGTTCACAGACAGCAGAATGGGGGCTGCCATGGCTGGAGGAAACGGAGAGCTGCTGTTCAGTGGGTGTGGTGTTTCAACTTGGGAAGATAAAAAATTCTGGAGACAAATATGGCGATGGCTTCATAACAATGAGAATGTAATTTGCTAATACAACTGTAAACTTTAAATGGTTAAAATTACAAATGTATTTTACTACATTTAAAAATGAATACAATAGCCAGGCACAATACTGTACACCTTTAATCCCAGTAGCTCAGGAGGCTGAGGCAGGAAGATCTCGAGTTCAAAGCCAGCCTCAGCAAAAGTGAGGTGCTAAGCAACCAGTAAGACCCTGTCTCTAAATAAAATACAAAATAGGGCTGAGGATGTGGCTCAGTGGTCAAGTACCCCTGGGTTAAATTCCTGGTACCCAGAAAAAAAAAATGAATACAATAGCTTATATAGATGTTTGGAAGTAGGGTAGTTTTAACCTTACATGGAAATGCAGTGTCAAACATAGCTAAAAATTACTGTAGAGGTACAAGATGGGACCAGCTTTTAACTATACCTGCTGGAGTCGAGACAATGTGATACTGATGTCTGRATAAACAGTAAGACCAAGGGAAGTCCAGAAACAAAAAACAGTGTATTTTAAACAATTAGTTCYGGGACAATTAGATCTCTTTAAGTGAAAATAAAAAATTGGAGGGGAAAAAATGTAAATTGAACTCCAATTTTATACAATCAATTCCAGTGGATTAAAGACCCAACCATGAAAGGTAAAAGTACAAAGTTTTGAGCTGGGATTGTAGCACAGTGGAACAGTGCTTGCCTAGAGGGGCACTGGGTTCAACCCTCAGCATCACATAAAATAAAATAAAGGTCCATCAGCAACTTAAAAAAAAAAAAAAAAGGACGAAGCTTTCAGGAGATAGTACAAAATAATATGTAAATAATCTTGGGGTGGGAGAACAGTGCTTTTAAAAAGTGCAATGACACTACCAAAAAAGTCAAGAACTTGAAGCCTTGGAAAGCTGCAAGTCAGAAAAAGACAGTTAAAACACACAGGACAGTGGAAGGCTGATTCACCACGCATGCAACTCCAGAGTGGGTTCGAGCACGGGGACAGGGCGGGGCGGGAGGGGACAGAGGAGTCAAACAGATAGCACGAAAGGTATTCTATGGAGTGAAATGTCCAATCGGTAAATAATGTTAGCAGGCACCTACCTTGATGGCAAGTAGGGAGATGTAAATTAAAGCCACATGAGATCTCTTTATCAACCCACYAGAATGACTAAAATTTAAGTTGATCAGTACAGTAAACACAGGAAAAGATGTTCAGCATTAATCACTAGGGAATTGCTGGTAAACATGTGAGCAACAGGAACTTCTGAACAGTGTTGGTGGGAATATAAACCAGCACCATTCACCACCTTGGAAATGATTTGGCAATACCAAATGAAGTTGGAGATGGCACCCAACTAAGACCTACCTAATGTGCTTCTACATGCCCTAAAGAAATCCAAATGCTTATGGATCAGGATATATGGACAAGAATGTTCTCAAAATCACAGTCTATGATGGCTTTACACAGAGAGAAACTCAAGCGTCTATTAAGTGAAGGAGCGACACCTACATGCAATAAGTAGATTAATTTGACCAAAAACGTTAATAAATGAGATAATAAAAAATACAATTCAGAAATGGGCAAAAATTAAAGTGTTTGTTGGTTATATACACATATATGATAAAACTTGAGAGAAGCAAGGCAATGGACGTCATGAGACAGGACAGTGACTGCCTGCAGAGGGGAGGAAGGAATACCACCCAGAGCAGAACAGGAGAGATTCCACGGGCTGCACATGCTCTGTTTCTTGAAGTACATGTTTCCAGAAATACACTCTTATATCCCCTTCTGTCTACATACCATACTTCACATTTTAATAAGGAAGGAATGGTAAGAATGAACACTATTCAACAAACGCTGCTGGAGAAAAACTCAGCTATGCTGACTGGTTCATAGTCATAAACACTAAAACAAGGTCTGGCCTGGCCACTCTGGTCAAACTGCTCAGGCTCTCACTGACCTCTCTGTCAGGAGCACTGACACAGGTTTTCATTCTTTGCTCCCTGATAGATGTGTATCACTTGGTTTCTAATAAACCACACTCTTTTGATTTTTCTCCTAACTGTTCACTCCTCATCGCCACTGCTGATTTCTCCTCTTAAAGTTGGAGTTTCCCAGAATCTTCAATGTCATTCTCTCTGTACTCATGCTCTTGGTAATTGTAAGCAGCCTCATAATTAAATTCATCTCTATGCCAATACTTTCAGCTCAGTCCCCTCTCTTGAGCTCCACAATGACTCATACTGTCTAGGTGACATCAGAAATGCCACATATCCAAAAACCCATGTTCCCAACATCCCCAAGCCTGCTCTACCACATGTTAACCATCCCTATTTCTATTTAAGGGCCTTCCTCACTTGGAAGGTGCATTCTGCCTATTGCTCAGACCAAAAACCACAGGGTCATCCCAGTCTTCTCTCCAGCCAGTCCATTAACACACCCACTGGGCTGCATCTCCCGACACATCCAATAGCTGAAGGTTTCTTCTCCTCCCTTAGGTCTACCACTCTGATTCAAGCCACATGTATGTCAGACATGGGTTACTGCCCTAACTTCCCATCTGGTCTCTCTGCTTGTACCTTTGACCCTCTAAAAGTCTGTTCTTAACAAGCAGCAGAAAATCCTTTTAACATTTAATGTAGTTTCTATCTCTCTTGTTCAACATTCTACAATGGCTCCACATTTTACTCAGGAAAAGCCAACTCTGCCTATCTTTTTAACCCAGAGCAATCTTAACAACATCGTCTTCTTAAAAAAAAACCAAAAAAACAAAAAAACAATTTTTGTTTCTGGGTTTAAGAAATACAAAAATAAACAAATAAAATCAAGCTTTAAAAATTGATTCCTAAAACGAGTCTTTATTATATTCTGGCCTGAATAAATTTTAACTAATGCATCCTCTAAAATGATAGTTCACTACAGTTGCATACATGTATTTGTCAATATGTTTAACATGGTGTTCTTTTTTTTAATTAAATTCTTTATTTTTAAATAACATAATGGTAATTGTAAATATTAAAAAGAAATAATTTTTTTTTTACTTGGAAAAAAAAACTTTTGCAGAAATGTTTTAATGTCACCATCTGTTTTTTACCTTCATTCCCTACACTCTCACTGCTGAATAAAAAAAACAGAACATTTTTACTTGTTTAAGAAATTGAAAAGTCTAGGAAGTACTAGCCAAAAGGTTTAACAAGCATGTGCTTGTATCACGAAAGCAGAGAGAAGGGACACTACATTGGCCACAGAACAGAGCCACAACACCCTCCGCAGCTCTCAACACTGGCTATGTGTCACTAAAGTTCTACGCCTCCCAGACCTTCTGTTCCATCTACAGGGAAGGAATAATTAGATRAGATGATACTGATATAAAATATATAATGTAAAATGTAGAGCCCTAACAGCTACCTGTGTTTTTAGTTAATACCACACTACATAAACAGCACGTGGTGGAAAAGAGACAAAGAAGAGGAGCCAGCCACCCTGGTGCAGAGAAGTGCTCTATTCCCGACATGCTAAGAACTGGTAACACAAGGGTGATGAAAAGCACTATGCTCAGTTCACCACTGCTGTACATTCCCCATAGATGGTGCACCCTACCTRTGTCACCAGGGTGCCACAGCAGAATCCATGTCCCACAAATGCCCCCCGGTTCTTACCTGTCTGCTCAGGGTCAGGTAGAGGCAGCAGGGACTCAGAAGGTGATAGCAGGGTGTGGTCATCATGTACTGTGCTGTGATTTAGAAGACAACAGGTTCACTCACCTTTCCTGAATTTGTGTACAGGAAGTTTCTTAAGTTGATCTTTACGTAGTCTATTTCTTCTAGCTCTATGTCTGTCCTGGACAAATTTTGTGATCTAAAGATAAAAGGGGGGAAAAATGAGTCAAATATTAAACATGCAATTAGAAAGGCTATTAAAATAACAATTTTTTTAAGTTTCTGGATAGCTGCTACAAACCACTCAATTTATTTAAATCCTAATTACAATAATATTATAAAGCATTAAATTATAAGTGATTAGTTAATTTATATAYTATCCTTTGAATTTTTTTATTTATTAAAACCATTTACAAAAATATAAATAACAGACTACATATTACAAAGACTTCAATGGGTCAAAAAGAATGAGAAGTTGAGATTCCTTTAAAGATACAAACTAATAAAATTTTCAAACACATACCTATTAGTTATCACACTTTTAGTTCTAGCAACATAATGGACATGATATTAAATACTTCTACTACACATTTTCAGAAATCTAAGACAAAATATACAAAACACTGTTAGGGTTTCAAGAATGAAAGGGAAGTCCACAGGACCAGAACCAAGTACAAAACACCACCCTATAAAGGAAAAAGGTGACAAGTCTGACTATATCAAAGTTAAGAACTTCTGTCCTCCAAAGARAGTTAAAAGATAAAAGACTCCACAGACTGGGAAAAAAATGTTTCCTAATTTCACACATGATAAGGAATTTGTACCCAGTATATATAAAAAACTTTCAATACTCAATTTTTTAAGTCACCCACCTGAAAAAAAAATTGTAATTGCTACTGAACCACAGAAGGACACACACATGGCAAATGAGCACTTAAAGAGATCCCCAACATCATTAGTCAACAGGAAAATAAAAACCAGAAATGACAATTCAGTACTACTAACAGGCACACATACCACCCTCTAGCAGGTACGCTAGCAGGATAACCATACTCTAAAAGACCGACTATGCAAGTGTTGATATAAGGGGGAAAAACTGAACTCATTTATGTTGTGTAAATTATATCTTAATAAAGCTGTTAGAATTCTTTTAAAAATTAAACAAATCCACAAATTTGAACCAATGAACATATAACTCTGCATTCCAATGATATTTTTGTACATGGGTAGTATTTTGAAATTTAACCACAAAACTATGGTACAAAGCAGGTGTCTGAAAATAACCAAAGAATCTATAATATACAATGTTTTCTGAAGACAATTCAATTGAAGTAGAAATTAACAGGAAAAGAAGATAATAAAATATATGTATTTTAGAAGTTTAGAATTTTACTAAATAATTCAGAGTCCTAGAACAGATCATAACAGATAACTAAGTCTCTCGTGGGGCCTGTATCTTTGGTGTGCTCATTTACCACCTATATTATAAACATGAGAAATAAGACCACATACTATTAGACAGGGGGAGGTGAAGTAATTAACTCTCTGGAGAGAGAAACAACTTTCAACTGAGCCACAGAATTGAGCTGTCCTAAGCACTCAGATGGCCTTGCCAACATCCTGCTCCAGAACTGCAGAACAACCCTGGAGGATCTGAATGAGCACCTGCACCCCAATGAAAGGCTAGTCCCCAAGGAAGAAGGTGGAGCTGAGCAAAGTCTGTCCAATTTACTCTTCCCAGGTTCCACACAGATAGGGGACMCTTCCTCTCCCCCAAGACAGAATGGGTAAAAGGGCAGAGGAAGACTAGAAGTTGTAGTAATTGAGCTCTGCCTCACATGGATGCAAATATCAAGAGAGGTAAAAAAATATAACAATAAACCTTTAAAATTTAAATCAAATGAGAATAAAATATTCCTTATCAAAAGTTATGGGATGCAACTAAAGCTATTATTAAATATAAAGTTATAACACATGCACATATTAGAAAGAAAATGTTAATAAGCATTCAGATGAATAGGCTAGAAAATGAATATAACTAAATTAAGTGGAAGAAAGAAGAGACTAATGATAAGAGCAGAATTGCAAGACAAAGATAAAAAATAAAGTAAATAATTTAGAATTTAAGTTCTACTAAAATTTTAGTTGCTTGATATCAGGGATTTTTAAGTATTTTGTTCACTACTGAATCGTAGATMCTAGAGCAGTGCCTAATTAAGTTTGGGTAAACACTTACTTAGTGATATCTACCTCTCTGAAAGACTACTAAAACAATAAACTTCTGTCAACACAGTGCCATGCACAGAGGCTCTGAAACAGAACTCATGCCACACAAGGTAGAATCTCTCTTAAAATTATGAGTCTATGAATATTATAAAGCATACTGTCCCACTGTATTTAAAAACAATTTCTTAGAAATGCAATTTGGTAAGGAGCAGAAAAATATCTGAACATCCATGTAACTAGATTTAGATGATTTTATAGGCAACCTTCACCAAAAAGCCAACCTCCACAAAAAAAGATGATCCAAATTATATATTTTTTAAAAACTTTCAGAAAAGAGAATAAAGAGAGCCTTAGTTTTACAGAGCTAGAATAATTCTGATTGTTTATTTTTGTGTTTTTTTGAAATTATGGTGAAATACACATACTGCAGTGTCTTACCCACTTTTGTTGTTCACACTGCTGCTTTACCATCACCACCACCCACCCACACAACTCTCCACCCTGCAAAATGGAACCTCTGCCCATTGTGCGGTAACTTCCCATTCTTTCCTACCCCTGGTGCCCAGTACCTACTGCTTTCTGCTTCTATCAACTAGACCACCTCATTCAAGGGGAATCATGCAGTCCTTGTCTTCTTGTGACCCACTAACTAATAAGCATAATGCCTTCAAGTTTCACACACACTACTGCATGTGTCAGAATTCCCGTCCGTCRTTGCTAATAGTTCACTGTATCCTTGCACTACATTTTGTTTATCTATTCATCTGTTAACAGACACTTAGGTTGCTTCCACCCTGGCTACTAACAAAGATGCTGCAATGAACATGGATGTACAAATCTATKCTCAAGTCCTTGCTCTCAATTCTTTTTGGATAACATACGCAGAAGTGTAATTCCAGATCATATGATCATTTTATGTTTAATTTCTGAAGAACTGCTATACCGTTTTCTTTAGGTATATGTTCCATCTTATAGTCCCACCAATACTACTTACAAGATTGTTTAAGTTTTGATTGTCTGCCTCCATAAAACTAAAGATTTTTCTTACCTGGATATTCAGATTGCCAATATTATGAAATTTTTGCATCTATGTCCAAATATAAGATTGATCTGTATCAGAAATCTACATAATCCAAAAATATAAAGAAAAACTTAACAACATAATCAAATAGAATTTATCCTCAGAATACCCAGATGTTTAAATTTTAAAAGTAGAATCACAACAGCCAACAAATGAACAGAGTAAAAGAGAAAAACAATGATCTCGTGATAGAGGAAAGATATATAATCCAATACCTGTTAAATAAGCAAATAAAAATCTGGTTTCTTTATTTTTAACACACTGTTTTTTTCCTGGTTTTACCAAAATAATATAGCAAAATGTTAAGTAGCAAACATTTATCCATTTCCTATTCCTGACTTTCCAGGGAAGTCTTCTAATGTAACTATTTCATAATGCTTATTTTAAGTTTTTAGTCTATAATCCTACTTCTACACCTAATTTACCAGTGGCATTTTTGTTTATTGTTTGATTTTCTAATTTTCTATACATCCTTGCTTTTACATTGAAAACCCAAGAAAATCAGCAAATTACCCAAACAGGAGAATCCAGCAAGTTTGTAAATATAAGACTAATATATAAAAATCAAAGATGTACAATGTTGAAATCTTGGTTTCTCATTACAGCACTCTGATAAAAGGAATTTTTCTTCTAGGAAAAAATGCTGATTTTAGGACTAGGACAAGAAAAACATAAGATGAGCCCAATACGTAGAAGGGAGAAGACCGGAGTAGAAGAAGGGAGGAAATGTGTGGCAGCAGGGACAAGAAAGGGGAGGACCACCATGCTATACAGTGCAGGTGTGAACATATCACAAGAGATTCAACCGCTATACATAACTATCATGTACCAATTAAAAATAAATTAATAAGCCAGGCGCAGTGGCACATGCCTGTAATGCCAGCAACTSAGAAGGCAGACGCCAGGAGAATCCTAAGTTCAAATCCAGCCTCAGCAACTTAGCAAAGCCCTGAGGARCTCAGGGATAAACTATTAAAAAGGCCTGGGGAGTGGCTTGGTGATTAAGCATTCCTGAGTTCAATCCCTGGTACAAATATTTTTTTTTTTTAATTAATGAAAGTAAGACCAATAGGTCAGGGGAAGGGAGAAGGAGAGGGAAGAGGGCAGTTCTGGGGACTGACATGGARTAACTTATGTCATGGGCATTCATGATAATGTTAAAGTGAACCCCACTGTCATATATGACTATGATGCACTAATAAAAAAAGAAGGTTTAAAAAACAAAAGGATGGGAGTCAAGTCAAAGGAATATAGAACTCAAACACATTTAACAAGAAAATAAGGTAGTACTAGATTATAACAAAGCATAAAATAAATATGTCTGGATGTATACTAATATAAATGATGGAATGAATGAACGAATGCTAAAAGGAAAAAAGTCTTCCTTACAGAAGTATGTCAAATAACATATCAGATACTTCCTCCTCCAAGAGGTGGTGCTCAATTCCTGCTCCCACCCTTACAGTAGGCTAGATGTGGTGCCTCATTTCTAAAGAAAGGGAGAGCAGAAGAAAAATATTGACTTTACAATGGAGAAACTTGGCAAATGCTACCTTATCCAACATAAAGGGTCACACTGTCAGGACTGTTACCTGGATATCGTGAACCCACTGACCCAGGGTTAAGATAACACCTGTGCTGAGACTCCTTTTGAAAAACTTAACCCAGTCTAATCACAGTCTTCAAAGACAATCAAGTACATGAAAAACAAGGACAAACTGAGAACTGCCAGTCAGAGGACACAGGGAGATGTGACAAACACTGTGTGGAACACCAGGCCGGGTCCTGGAACAGAAGCAGCACATTAGTGAAAACGCTGGTGGAATCCAAATAAAGGACAGAGCTGGTTAATAGAAATGTACCAACGTGAGTTTCTTAGTTTTGACAAATAATATAGAATATCAACAATGAGGGAAGCTAGATGAGCAATGTATAGAATTCTCTTGTTTGAAACTTTCTRTAAACCTAACATTTCAAAATCAAAAGTTTATTTTAAAAACCTAATAATGTTCTTATATCCTAGTAATAACTAATTAGAAATGCAAATTCAAAAATATCTTTTGTAATAAGCAAAAAACCGTTTATGTAATAAGTCTAACAAAAGACAAAAGATTTACAGGAAAAAATGACTAAACTGATGGATGTGAAGGACCTAAATAAATGAAAAAATACCCCAATATCATAGGGAAATTAGACATTTCAAAGATGGCATTTGATCTCTAACTTAATCTATAACTTCAATATGATAATAAACTCACTGGATGTTAATATAAATATTCTTTATGAAAAATAAAAAAAWTTAGAAGGGTAGTATTGCTTTATATTTTTGCGAATTTCTTTGACCATGTAGGAAGAGAATACAGAGAGATTTTCATCTGCTGTCTTCCTGTGCTGTGTCACCCCCTTGGCCTCTCAGAAGTTCCACTGCACACCCAGGGGGTGAGGAGGACACAGGCAGGGCATCCTGTGCAGCCCCCGGTGTGGGAGGATAGTGTGCAGACATACTTTTGGAGAAGCAATGTGCCCCCCCCCCCCCCCCCCCCCCGCTTTCCTCCAGCCTCAGGCTTCCTTTACTTTTTAACACAACAGTTCTCAAATGTATGGAAGTGAAGAATCTGATCACGAACACCCGACACCCACTACCTAGGACATCTTGCTACACTTTACCACATCTGTTCCTCTATTGCCCCATCGGTATGTCCTAACTTAGTCCTCTTAATTTTTTACAATACATTTCAAAGTAAGTTGCAGACAACAGTATACTTCCCCCAGTACTACAGCATATACATCATTACTTAAGCGTTAAGTACTTTTTTTTTTTTTACAGTTCCGTCATTTTCTTTTGAAAATTTACATACAATGAAATGCACAAGCTAAGGATTCAAGTGGGTGGATCCAGTCAAATGCCACCCATCTGTGCCACCCAAATCTCTATCAAGACACAGAACATGACCCTCCCCCTCTGAAAGTCCCTGGCACTCTCCTCAGCACACCCTCGCCCCATCCCTGCAGGCAGGYGCTGTTCTGATGTCTCCACTGGGTTCTCTCTGTTTTCCAGAACTGTGTACACAGGGTCTCATGTAGTAGGAGTTACTCTTTAGTGTAAGGCTTCTCTCATCCAACGCTATGTGCTTTAGATGTATTCATACCACATTTTACAATTATTAAGTTAGTTCACCTACCATGAATATGACTATCAAGATGAGACAAATGCCTACTATGATGAGGAAAGGGATTAAATAGTATTCCAGAGGAAGGCTGAATTCTGGAACCAGGATAATGTGGCCCCTGGAAGAAAGCAAAGAACAATCACTGATTATGAGGAAGCACTGTCAAATTATGAGGTTAAACAAAATCAAGTAAGAATATTTTTTAAAAGACACATAGAGATTATAATTTAATCCACTACACACATCTTCTATTTTCTTCTAGGACTGAACCCAGGGTGCTTTATCACTGGGCTACATCCCCCATCCTTATTATTTTTGAGACACAGTCTCACTGAGTTGCTGATRGTGGCCTCAAATTTGCAATCTCCTGCCTCAGCCTCCCAAATTGGTGATAAGCGTGTGCCATGGCACCTGGCTACATATCTCATTTTCTTTCTTCCTTTTCGTTAATTTTTTTTTTTTTAGTTGTAGATGGACACAATATCTTTATTTATTTTTTATGTGGTGCTGAGAATCGAAGTCAGTGCCTCATACATGAGAGGCTCTACCACTACTACAGTCCCACATCTCATTTTCTAATAAAGAATTCCCAATAATTTAAGAGATGTTTTTTATATCTACTTTCCATATTTTTCAAAATAATTTGCCTATATATTTAAAAGAAGGTTCTGGACTGGGTAAATAAAATCAGTCAATCAATGCTTCTATATCTGTCCTGGAGAGATATTAGAGATGTTACTTACTCAATCTCATTGCCCACGCAAAAGTAATATTTTATATGCATCATCAGCATAAAAATCAATGGTAGTACCTTAGGTAAGTCAACAAGAACCCCCACCTCAACCAAACTACTGCTTATCACTTYCTTCTGTAGAAAACAGAGACATTACTGCTTCCTCCAGACAAATTTCCTTTGCACCTGTTGCCCTGGGTCCCACAGATACCGCCACTGTGTCTGTCATCTGTGAGAAAAGGAACTGACAAGAATCGCCATCTCCACTCTATTCTCCACTACTTAACTGAAAAAAAAAAAAAAAAAAACATAGAAATGTGTATGCCATGGAAGTGGAAGGTAAGGGCTACTATGTACCTTACTCCCTTTGGTTATCAACCATGTTAATAGCTATTGTGACATTACTATTAGAAAAATGGGAGTTCATAACCCACTTGAATCAAATGTATGAAATATGATATATCAAGAGCTATGTAATGTTTTGAACAACTAATAAAAAAAAAAGAAAAACTGTCAGGGACCCATGGAATAAAAATTGTGATGAGAATAACCACACTATTTGTTACATGAGCAATTTTTACATGGCATCAAACTTTGCATAAAAATCTCTTAGTCTAGGGAAGGGTCTGTGTGATGTCCAGCAACGCGACTAGTAGCTACTGCATGGGTCCACTGGCACCAGGCTAGGATGGTGCAAGCAATGCTACTGCACTACTCACTGCTGGGTGTTTTGTTTTTTAAGGTAATAAAGCCAGGTACTTATAATACAAGGGTTCAGGGTAAAATAATTCATGGTATAAAGGTAGATAAAAGCAGGTGGATTCCTTCCCCCATGATGGAAGAGGTACTTAGGATTCTACTGTTCTTAAGAAACAAATCATGAAAGCAAACTACTTCCATTTATGCTATTATTTATTACACTTACACTCAAGGAGTTCCATTGAACTTCATCAGAAACAAACAAATACCAAGAATTTTCCTCAAAAATTTAAGCACCTTCCCCAAATTGCCAAGATTGCTTGAATACAAGTGGGGTTTTGTTTTCTTTTTTCCTTTGTTTTTTTAACTTCAGTCACTTTCCACCAGAATGAGGATAACAAAGGATTTCACATGCTTTTTTTTTTTTTTTTTTGGTGGTAGCTTTAATCAGTCAGTGTTAAAGAGGTACACTGTAGCACGCCTGAGCTTATCTATTTGATAGTATCTCTTCCATCAGGAGGCCAGCTCTGTAAATAATGTCCCTGTTCTTGGTACAAACTCTCTGAGACTGCCATGAGCCAATGGTACCACTTCTAAGTACAAAGGGCCTTTCTATGACATGCTAATCCTCTGTAGCCTCCTCACTTCACCCTGCCTACATGCTATAAATTAACATCGCTGGGAATTGGAAACTAGTCTGCTGCCCAGCCTCAATTTAAGTGACTGTAGCTTCTTCATATTTTAGCAGTAGAACACTTACACCTCTTATATTCTGTTTTTTTTTTCTTCTTTGTTTTTTACCTCCTAAGACACATGAGGTTTATACAAGATAAATAAACACTGTCCCATAAAACAAGCCCCAGGGTTGCTCAGAAATAAACGAGCTGCTAGGTATGAAATAAACTGAAAGAACAGTCCCAGTGAAAGAGAAATCAAACCACTTCAGTAGAGACTTCCTGTGTGCTTGTAACTATAAAAATGAAATCAAATGAAACCTGACATTCTACATACTTTATTAATGCTTGCCTGCTCTATTTCAAGTCATTTTAGTTTGCTGCAAAGGTACATCGTGATGATTTTAAATGGCCCATGATGATAAAGGGGGACTCCTTGAATCAAGAGCTGAATACACGTGCAGGACACTGCTTTTTTATCCCTTGAGGATGGCTAATGGTGGCGGTGAGGACACAGGGCAGAGGGCAACAACAGCACGTCCGTGCCCTGGCCCTGTTTGTTTCCTCCTGTACTCAGGTCACCCACAGTGGACCCTGCAGAGTCACCCTGTCCTGGTCCCAGACTAATCTGTGTTTGAAAAAGGAGGTATTAAAATAACTTTAGTAAGTACCTTAGCACCCGCCTCCACCCACTCCTGAGGATAGCATACCCCATGAGCTCTGCAGCTGATAGTCATTACTGAAGCTGAGTCCCAGGAGGCCCAGGAAATAAGGCCTTATTTTCCTCTCCATGTGTTCCCAGGCTCATTTCAAACCAGTGCTGCAGCCTAAGCTTCTTTTTTTTTTTTTTTTTTTTAAAGAGAGAGTGAGAGAGAGAGAGAGAGAGAGAGAATTTTTAATATTTATTTTTTAGTTCTCGGCGGACACAACATCTTTGTTGGTATGTGGTGCTGAGGATCGAACCCGGGCCGCACGCATGCCAGGCGAGCGCGCTACCGCTTGAGCCACATCCCCAGCCCCAGCCTAAGCTTCTTAACAGTATCTCCCCACCGGGCTGTTCACAGGAGGCCTTGCCTTGTCTGTTCTGACACCCAAACACCTGCCACCCAAAACACCAAGCTGCAGTGGATTTACAAGTGCAACCCAGCTTAGGGCCTACAGACCAACATTCTAGGCAACAAGCYGTGCTCAGGTCGCACACCACCACTGCCTCAGCTGACTGCCATCTCTGCCATCAACCTGCTGCCCCTTTCAGACAAAGCCTGCGGCTGCCTCGCCCAACATCCTATATTCCCTACAGTTTAATTTCACCCACATTTACTGAATACTGACGATGACACAGTCTCTATGTCCAGGGATAGGGATGGGACAGAAAAAAAAGCACAATCTTGAAAAGACAGAAAGCTGAAGGCGGAGGGAAGTGCAAGTTCTTTCCTCCCACGCCACATTTTCAGAAGAGAAAGCGAGTCCATTAAGACTGCATGACCAATATGATTCTGCAACCTGTATACTCAGAAAAATGAGAAATTATATCCCATCTGATTCAAATGTATGATATGTCAAGGTAATTGTACTGTCATGTGTAACTAATTAAAACAAATTAAAAAAAAAGACTGTGACCTTCTGAGAGCCACCAAGTGACCCCCCATATCCTACAACTATGAACAATGACACTCCTTCCCCACCTGCAACRCTGAAAACTGTATACCACCTAGTTATTTACCTTTGTAGGTACAAATTTACAAAATGCTTGTAGAGTTAAAGTTTTAAAAGACCAAAGTACACAAAGGACACCAGTTTGCAAAAATGTTCCCTATGAATAAATAAGTATTAATGTCATCAATTCGTTTTCTTATCAGATTGACAGTTAACTAAAAAGACCAATAACTATCTTTTGGGGAGGGCCATGTGACAGTTGTTACAGTGAAATTTTCAACAATTTATCCTTAGTAATGTGCAGGTACTTTTGCTAAAGAAGCACCTGTACAACTACACATAATGTATGGTCAAAAATCTCCCAGTACTCTGTTTAGTGCACGTTATTTACTTGTAGAAGGAACACCTATGAAGAATTTACTACATACTAGATTCTTCAAAGAATTTAAATGCTGTATATATAAATTCTATTATTGTTGTTCCCATGTTTAAAGAGGAGGGAAGCTAAGGCCAGAGATGATAAATTTTTGTTGAAGGCAACAGGTTAAGAAGTGATGGAAGTCAGGATGATAAGCCAGGCTTATCTCGTGGCTTTACAGGGTAAGTGAATTAATATTGATCTGAATAAAGGACTATTGGGCTGCTGTGGTTTTTTTAGCATAGTATTTATTTTTCAGTTATAGGTGTCCACCTATAACAATATCGTTRTTTTATTTTATGTGGGGCTGAGGATAAACCTAGTGCCTCAGGCATGCTAGGTGAGTGATTTGCCTCTGGAACTCAAACCCAGTCCTGGACTGCTGTTTTTTTAACAGTAGTTAAAAGGCTGGAAAACTGCTAAAAASAATAAAATGCAACACAACAGGAACTGATACATGCTTTCTTAATATGATAAAAAGAATCTTAAAGAATAAACAAGAATTCTCACAAAAGTGAGACACAAGAGGAAGATGGCCACTATCTCCACTATTATTTATGTGGTGCTGAAGTCATTACCAAGGCAATTGGATAAGAGAGAACAATCAGAAGTATAAAAATTACAAAGCAAAAGATAAAACTATTTCTATTTGTAATGGGAAACTTCACAACAATAAGAGAATCCAGTCCAATTGCATATAATTAWATCAACACATAAAAAGAGCTTTCATACGTACAAATAAAAAAACAAGTGSCAGATGTAAACAAAGAGAAGACCCTACTTATGATAGCAAACAATACAATACCTAGCCATAAATTTCACAAGAAATRTGTTTCTCATATAGATTTTGGACTAAAAAAAAAAAAAAAAACACCAAAAACAAACTCAGGATTACTAATTGAATAAATAGAAGGAAAGATATATCACATCCTTGAAAA